AATGCAACGACTGCGTCTTGTACTTTACTCAGGCTTGTAATCTCCAAATACAGTCTCCTTAATTCGGTCACAATAGTCCACCAAAACTGGATATTCTTCTTTCAGCAAATTTTTGGCATAGGTAGAATATGGAAGATAAAGCACTGTAGCCAGTTGTCCAAAAACTGAGCAGTCAACCTGAATTTGCAAAATGATACAGTAACTTTCAAACTATATAGAATTTAGAAATACCGCAGCGATCTCGTCTCCAAATAGAAACTTCTGTTTATCTAGTAAGGCTTGGTAAACATCATAGTCTTTTCTGAGTACTTCCTTGTAATTTTCAGTAGACATTCCTCCAACGCCGCTGACAATTTTTGGCATAGTCTGCAAAGTTTTCAAATGGCCGATTGACCATAAACTTGTCTACTAACTTTTTGCTTAATGAAAAATCCCATTATGGGTGCAATTATCGGTATCAACCATTCCGGAAAATGTGCATCGCGACATCCGATCTCAGCGAGAGTGTTGGCGTCATCGACTATTTTGAAGTAGTACTGAACCCTAAATTTGGAAATTTGCAAAGTGTGTCATCAACGACAAAACAGCGAACTAACATGAAAGTATGAATTTCTGTCATTCGTTCAACAGCTCTGGCTATGGCACGGTTTTTCGGATCAGTCAGTTCCTAAAAAGCAGGTTAAAAACTTCCTTCAGAAACTTGAATGACAGAAAGAAAAAAGCAAGGAGAGAGTTCAAGAGTGCTTGACATATAAAACTGTAATATCTAAAATTTGCTCATACAAGGCATGTATTTCTAAGAAAAGCAAATCTGGAGAGCTTTTCATGGTACAATTGAACATCCCCTTGAAGATTTTGCAAGAAGATTTATCACTACTCAAGTAAGTGCGAGAACTAGTTTATAGAAGGGAATTTCCGAAAAGTTCGAACATTTCTGCAACATTTGATACAATTCGAGATCGTGCTTATTACAGAATTGAGTCAAATTGCGAAGGTGATGTTTGTATCATACGAGAGGACTTCCCTTTTTTACTTATCTTCGCAATGCACGAGTCTTTGAATGCTGTAAAGCCCAAGAACTCAGTTACTAATAAAAGGTGATCCTTATAGCGATCTAATTTTGTTTCATTATGAACTAGTATAGAAGGTATAAGATGCACTAAATTTTCAAAATTGACAAGCATGATTGTTTTATAGCTTGAGGCAGAAGCAAGATGGTACCTTGATGTTGAAATGCTTGGTTATCCGATTGATGATGACTTGTGAATCAGCAATGTGCTCACCATTCAGTTCCACAAATGGTAGCTTACCATATTGAGATCTGCTTATGATGACAGGAGATACCTGGAATATAAGTCTAGTATAAGAGTACATTGTGTTTGCACAAAATTTGCTAATTTT